GACCTTTCCCGCTGGCAAGCTGTTTGGAGACCCCTGGGCTCCAAAGTGTGGACACATATCAAACGCCGGGAGACCAGTGGAGTGGACACTTTAGCAGTACAATCCCAGAACCTGGTTCAGGAAGCCAACAGACTTTGCTTCAATCCAGTCCCCAGTGCCTCTTATCAGTGTGTTCAAGATGGTGCTGTTGGTGGCAGGAGCCCACCATTTTTCAGTCTGGCTCTGTCTCGAGAATCGCCAGCAAGTGTACCGTGGGAGACTGGAGAGACTTTGCAGCCCTACCCTCTGCAACGCCGTTTCTCTCTGTCGCCTGTCAGATTCTTGCCATCCCCCCAGAGCTCCACCACTTCCACACCAGAGCTACTTCGGCACCAGCACAGCCTCCCTCGCAGCCGCTCACAGCCTTGTGACTTGGACACCAGGAAATGCGGTCTCAAGCGGCGCCATGAAGAAGATGTGAGGTGGCATAGGCCCTCACTTGATTTCTACAAGATGAATCAGGTAAGTAGGGAAGCATCATCTACTTGGCATCAGAGTCGTGTTGATCAAAACCTCCCTGTAAAATCAGTGAAAAATTGAAGTAAAAGGGAAGTGAAAAACTGAAAAACCACTGAAACAAAACTGGATTTTTCCATGTAGCAAAACACATTACATTCAACGACTATATGGTGCTAAGCAATCTGTTAAAATGAGTACAATACACTGTGGAAAACTTTGGGGATTATCGACGGAGTCCTTGATTTATAACTGTAATTGAGCCTGCAAATACAGTTGCAAATTTGTGCCAGTCATTAAGTCAGATCATCACGTGACCAACCCAATTTTATAATATATTTTGCAGTGGTGGTTAAGTGAATCGCCATAGATGTTAAGTGAATCCACAGTTGTTAAGCAAACCCATTGTCTGCAACGGATGTTGTTTGCTGGAAAGCAGAAATAAAGGCTGGTTTCCAGCATAAAACATTGTAAATTGCAGTCACATAACCCTGGGATGCTGCAGACCGCCATACATGTGGGCCAGTTGCCAAGCCCAAAATGTGACCATGGGAAGGAGCTGGGCTGTCTTCAAATCTGGACCATAAGGGAGGGGTCCATCGTAATTTCGAAGAGCCACTAAGCAGCCAGTTTTAAGTTGAGGACTACCTGTGTATGACACCAACAAAATTCAACATTGTTTGAAGATATGACTGCTGAAAAAAGTGACTTATGACTGGTCCTTGCAATTATGACTGCGGCAGCATCCCTGTAATCATGATTTGACCATTTGGCAACTCTCACACATTTACAACTTGTTGCAACATCCTGCAGTCATTTGCCATTTGTGACCTTCCCAACCAATCAATGGGAAAGCTGACAGGGAAGGTCACAAGTTGCAGTCATGTGACGTCAGGGCAAAAAAGGTAAAATCGTGTTCAGTCATGTGATGCCTCACTTAATGATTTCACCACTTAGCTAAATTTTTTTGGTCTCTATTATAGTTGTAAATTGAGGACTTTGCTCCAGGTATATTTATTAGAAATGGCAGATCTGATCCTATATAATACAGATCCTTCCAAGGAGGATACTTGCATTGGCAGTTATATTGAAACAATTTTGAGGGGTCCTTGGTGCTCTCTGAGCTTGGTTGTTTTCATGCAGACATTTCGTTATTCAAACTAGGTAACATCGTCAGTGAAATAATTTGGTCTTGATGAATGCTGAGATTTATAATCTGTATTAGCAGGATATTAATTTATTGTTAGAAGAGTCAGTGGTTATTTAAAACCATTCATGATTAGAGAGAACTAGAATCAAAGTAGCTGAAGACAGCTCACAGGGCTCTTCATACTTAGAAGAACAAAGCATTCCATTATAGACCTGGTTCCCCCCCCCCTTTTGTATATTTGCAAGCAAAAAATTACCCAGTGATCCTTAATTGAAAAATGCTGAACTTTTTTTCTGGACTAGTCCATAGGTGGTCCTTTTTTAAACAATAGCAATTGGACTGGAATTTGTCAGAAAGTGATATGTGGTTGTGAAGTGGAATGTTGCAGGACCGTGTTGCTTAGCAATAGTGATCCAGGTGGTCCCCTATTGCTGTTAAGTGAGGACCTCACTACTTTCTGCCAGCTTCCAACCAGCAAAGTCAGTGGGGAAACTGGCAAAAAGTCACAAATTCTAGGCGGCTTGTAAACGGCAGATGGGTGGCTGATGCAGCACAGCCAAACATAGGGTGACTGTGTGACTGCTCTGGATAGAACACAGGCAGTTGCTGCAGCTTAGCACAAGTGTGGCCAGAGGCAAGCAGGTGCTGCAGAATTGGGAGAAAGTAGCAGAAGCCATTCCTGCCGGCTTCCCCACTGAATTTGGTTGTGGGAAGGTGACAAGGAAGGTCACACGTGATCATGTGACTGCATGGATACTGGGACAAACAGAACTTCAAGGACTGATCGTAAGAACCACTCATTCAGTCCCATCATAACTTTGAACATCCCTGAACAAGTGGTTGTTAATCAGGATTTTCTGGAATGCAATCTATAGCCAGAGGTTGGAGAGACCATAGATAAAATTACTATAAAATAATAAAGATAGCCTAGTAGTAGTAGATATGGCAATAGAACAATTGGTTATGTGTATCTAGAATGTTTTAGAAAGTATAGGAGCACTATTTCCATAGACTTGGCAGATTTGGTTTGTTAATAAAAGCAGTTTTTGAAAATTTATGTCCGTAACCCAGCAAGCTGAACACTTAAAATGTCTCTGGTATTTAGTCATAATAGCAGCTTTTTACATAATAATGTAATTAATGATATTTAATTTCTGGAACTGAGCAATAACTATATTAACTCATACTAGTGTTCTAATTCACATGTATGCCTATAAGTTGACATTATAACACAAGATAAATCTGTTGAAATGTACGTTTCTTTATTTTTTTGACAGAAACCATTTGCAGGGGAAGTCTGTCAGTTAGACAAATCTGAGGAAGGTGGCTATCCATCATGGCTCTTGACTTGTAGCCCACAGTCACCCTCAGCTCCTTGCAGTCCCATTAATAATTGTATCCAGGTGCTCAGTGAAAGTGAAGAGGAGGAGGATGAAGAAGAAGCAGCAGCAGTACAAGCAGCAAGACAAATAAATTGGAATTTAGCAAGCAAAAGGACAATTTTCCAACCAGACTTTAGTGATCTGGATCTAACTTTGATTGAAGAGAACTAGCATTTGGATGTCTCCTTGAAAAACTTGACTTTGGAGTCAGCAGCAAAGGGAGGCTGCACTCCTGGATGAGGGTGGGGGAGCAGGGTTGGGGGTAGAAGGGAAAACGGCGGTAGGATAACGGGGTTTTGTCTGCTTGTTTCTTTTGTATTAAAAGAGAAAATAAAAAGAAATTGCTAAAGGGAGTTGTATGTCTCTAAGATGGGATCATAAAGCCTGTCAAACGTTAGGAAACGAAAAAAAACCCTTTATTGCCAATTTTACAAATTTGCTTCTCTTGGCAAGCTTTTTTGTCTGTCCCAGATCACAACACTAAAAGACCTTTATTTTAAAAAAAGAATATATATATATACTTAATAAAGTCCTACATATAAGAATGATTGATTTTTTAAAATTAAAAATACAGTGATATCGTAATTTGAAATCATGTTACAATCCTGTCAAGTGTTTTTAACTGGATGAATCTTCATCTACATTACTTGTCAGCTTAGAATTCTAATCTACAGCCGAATATAGGAAGACATTAAACTCAGCATTTGTTTTTCTCTATGAAGAACTTTTCCAAAAGCATTTTGCCCTTAGCTTTAGAATTCAAGAAATATCCTGTTGTCTGACAATAAAGCTTTATCTTATTCCATTGAAAAGAATTAACATTTTCCTGTCTTTCTAGTCAAATAAAGTACAGCTGCCAGACATAGGAAAACATACATGCAAACAACATGGGAACAGTTTTTGAATTATGTTTTATGTGATCTCTCAAACCTGTGGCTTCATTATTGAATGAAAAGGAATGAATACAAATGTATTTTAACACACCCTTTCGCATAAAATGTGTATTATATATATTTTATTTAATTAGAGGGGAAAAAATCAATTTATATATGTAATAATCTTACAAGATTATTATGTATAAATCCAATAAGTTCAAATCTTCCTCTAACGCAGTGGTTCTCAACCTGTGGGTTGGGACCCCGTTTGGGGTCGAATGACCATTTCACGGGGGTCGCCAAACCATGCTGTCTGCCATTTTTTTCCCTTTTCCCTAGCTGTCCTACTCCCTCTTATTGGTGGCCACACCCACTTGGGGGTCACCACAACATGGGGAACTGTATTATGGGGTCACGGCATTAGAAAGGTTGAGAATCACTGCTCTAACGTAACAGGATTCTATTTGGCACGGCTGTGTAAGCCCTAGCGCTCTATTAATATTTTTTCAACCCTATGTAAGCTTATCACCCACAAAAATAAATACCGGATTCCTTGCTGCGGTAAAATTAAACGAGGCAAAGAAAAGCAGAAGACGAGGTATTGCTGATATTGCTGACATCACCAGATGTTGCTGATCATTTTCCACGGAATCCGCATTTATTATGACTTGAGAACGGACCGGAAGCGTGGGAACTTTCAGAAGCGACTCTATGGTTGCAGAGCCCGACACGCTCCCATCGGGCCTGTGCCGGGAATCTTGTTTTCCTAGGCCCCAGCCCTTCCGTTTCCGTTTTGGAGGCCGGTGCTTTTGGGGGGGTGGGGGGAAGAGCGGCGACGGGGAAGAGACAGCCGGAGGCGGCGGCAGCAGCAGCAGCGACAACGGGATCCTGTGGCGCATCGGACGCCAGGTTTTCCGCCCCTCCCAACCTCAGACTTAGGAGGCCCAGGCCGCCGCCGCTGCCGCCAGTTTTCGGCGGGGACGAGTTCGCGTGTTCCGCTTAGCCAGTCAGGCTTCAGCTTCCGTAGCTCTCTCGCTTTCTCCCGCCTCCCTCCCCCTCTCCTGCTCAGAGTCGCCCGGGCCCATTTCGGTGTGTCCCATGGACAGGCACAAAGTGAAGCGCCAGAGGCTGGACCGCATTTGCGAAGGTAAACTTCCTGAGCGTCGGAAGGAGGGATGATGGCAGGGCGGCAAGACTCTCTTAAACCCGCGTATCGGAAGCTGCGGGAGGATTCGGACCTCGTGTCCCGAATTTCTCTCCACGTGGTGTGGTGACAGAAGGTCGCTCTCGTGGAAACATTTGCGCCCGCCTGCCTCTGGTGTAAGGCGTCGTGAGCCGATCCTTTCTTTGAAAATGTAGGATCCTCGAGTTATGGCCCGGTCCGTACACGGAGATGCCCAGATTACACGCCAGTCCTAACCCGTTACTTAAAAACCGCGGTCTGCATCCTCTTTGCTTGGTGGAGGCTGCTATTTTACTATCTCAGCTCTTGTGGTATCCCGTGAATGCAGATAGCCTTATGATACCCCCTTGACAGAAGGGGGGGAAACGTCTCCTAGTGGTTTTTAAGGTGACCGAGTATGTGAAGTGTCTCTTTTAAAAGATACCATAGATAGTAATTATTTGCCATTGAAAAGCACAAACGTTTGTTTTCTCTATTAATGTGTATCCTCTGGTTTCTTGCAAATTGTTGCAATGTGTCGAAAGAGTTTAGCCTTTTAATCTAAACTAGTTTCCTGCTGTCTAAAGCACCTTTGAATTGTCTCTACCTTTTATCTTTCACCCCTTTGTATTAAGTAGTAGCAATTGAGGACCAATTGTTTTATTTTTTTATTTCTGTGGATCATTACTTCTATTTATATATTATATATTACATATAACATATTTATATATTATACTTTAAGGCACCTAGCTGAAGTTTTCTGGACAGATTATGAAGCTGTTTTAAAAATAAAACTCTGGGTAATATTATGATAAAAACTAATAAAACTGCCCCTGAAGAAATAAACAAAAAGTAAATGAATTAAAGGAAGCAAATTAATCTTGCTTTGAACTGAAGCCTAAATGATGCTATGCAGTGATACGTACATAGAGATATGTGATGTTAAGTTTTGCTCAATTTGGTGGTATTTACTTCACACAGAAGATGATAATTACACTTGCCCCTTACGATGTTAGTGAATACAAGTGATTCAGGTCCCTGCATCCAGAAGAGCAAGCTTTTCTGATTCTAACTTTTGACTTTTATGCCCAATGAATGCCTTCTTCTTAGGGTACTTGCTTGGAACAGAAGCGCAACATGCTAAAGTGTCTTCATTTCCCAATAGGTTTCTGTTTGGCTAACAAGGCCAACCAGAACTTGTGGACTCTTGCTCTGAGAATTATTTCATTATTGCTAGGGATTAGAAGGGTTTTCTGTACTTTATTTGGGGCTCAAGTTGTATTGATTGTATATAAACTTGTTAAGATATATATATTTGGGTAAACATGTCACACTTATCTAAGGTTTGCTAAATCATGGTTCATTGCATAAGTACAATTGACTAGCAATAGAAGAGAATATTTGCAGCTCAGGGCTGAACAACGGGATCCTTGGTGCCCTTTGAGCTTGGTTGCTTTCTTGCAGACATTTTACTACCAAACTAGGTAACATCAGTGCTAGTACTACAATTGGCTAGGCTTATAACATAATTATAAGTCATAATCATAATTTACCTTACATTACACTCACACATCATGTTAAAACCAGTATGTTGGAACTTTATGTGAACTATGGACTCAATTTCCATCTTTGAGTTATATCATTGTTGGGAAGACTAATATATTATCTTGAAACATTTGTGCATTTCTGTTGTGTTTTTCATCATTATTTCCTTAGCTAGGGGAGAATAAATTAAATTATTTTTTGGATGTAATAACCATTTCTTATGTGGTTCTTAGGTGTCTTTTGCTATTCAGGTTTGAAAGCACATAAAATACTGAAAGGTTGATAAAAGATATTTGTATGCATGGTTACAATTATCCCATTCCCCACAATTGTTAAAAATATGTTATAATTATTAATTTAGTCAATATATGCACATAGATATGGGTAAGTGCCTTCCATATTATTGTGTTTTTTTCTGAAACAGTTAATTTTTAAAGCATTGTTGGGTGCTATTGGCTTATTTGTTCGGTAATTTCTGTTCTGACTGCAGCAACCCTCAAGGGTTCCAGATAAGAATATTCTGTTTAAAATATAAAGATATAAAGATAAAGATTCTCTGTATTAGGCAATAATAATGTTTACTGCTTAAAATACTTATTTATGAAAGCAGTAATATGCTGAAAAATAATAATGCTGAAAAATCACAAGTTTCTTAACTATGGACCAGTGCATTCTTTGAAAACTCAGTTTAACAAATGTAGGCCCATGATAACTCAGGCCCATAACTCATTTAGATAATTTATTTGAAATGATATCATTTCATTCATTTTGTAAATTTCAAAAATGTATAACTTAGACCATCAAATATTTTGAATATTCTGAAAAGGTGTTATGAGATAAAAGTTACAAGATATGAGGAATGAGATTTTACAAGAATACACACACACACACACACACACACACACACACACACACATACACACACACACACACACACACACGTATTGTGAATCAGTTCTGTAAAATAATTGATGGTACTTGACCATATAATATATAACTGTGTTTTATTATTATATTTTAAAAAAGAGGTATCTTTCCCAATCTTATTGGAAGAATGGTAGAATTTGAATTTGAGATCTTTTGCACTTATAAGAAGCTCTCTATCAGTAGTTAATACTGTTCCTGAATTTTTCCCAGCACTTTATATATTGGATTGACATAATTGATTTGTAATGGGGCTATAGAAGAATACTTTTCATTTTTATTTGTAGGTGAATAATTCTATTTTCTTTTATAGGTATAAGGCCTCCTATTGGTAATGGTCCAATGCCAGCTCGTCCATTGGTTGCCCTCCTTGATGGCAGGGATTGCACTGTAGAAATGCCTATCCTGAAAGATGTTGCCACAGTAGCTTTCTGTGATGCACAATCAACTCAGGAAATCCATGAAAAGGTAAGATTTACAAAAAGAGGGAGGAAATTTCACTTTCCAATGAAAAAATGGGTGAGTTGAATCCAGAATTCATAAAATTTTGCTTTGAGAGCTAGCCATTATTTGTAGTTGCTTTCCACCCCCATTTTGAACCAAATTCTATGGAAACCAGTGGGAACTTAAAAGAACTCAGAAGGGGTGGTCCTTTGTCTTGCAGTTTTTGCAGAAAATGCATACTGCACTTTGCTACTCTGCTTAAGTATGAAAGGCCAGTGGGAAGGGAGAGAAACAGTTCTTTCTCTCTTTTCTGTGAAATTAAAAGGACGTGAAGGAAAAGAGTGATGGTGTTTGTCCTTTTGTAGAAGCAATTATATTCTCTTTCTGTCTTTCACATTCCATTCCTTTCTTGGAGTACTTTGCAGTTCATTGAACAGCAAATAAAGTGTCGATCAGAAGTGGAAGGCTGAATAATAAGTGAGGTTGTAGAATTCTGAGCTTACTAGTTCTAAAGCTATGGAGTAAGCATTATTCTGTTGTTCTATCTTCCTCTAGGTTCTAAATGAAGCTGTTGGGGCTCTGATGTACCACACCATTACCTTGTCGCGCCAGGACCTGGAGAAGTTCAAAGCTCTCCGGGTCATTGTGCGAATTGGCAGTGGCTATGACAATGTGGATATCAAGTCAGCTGCAGAATTAGGTATGGTGATCCCAGTGCAATTTAAAAAAAAAAAAGGAATATTGGAGAGTGGGTGGGGAGGGAGTACATCCTTCCTCTGAATTTAATTTTGGGGTTTGGGCTGAATTTACTAAAAAAAAAAAAAAAATTTCTGAGAGGCAAGTGGAGTATTTCCTATTATTAAGATAAATTTGCAAACTTTCCCGTTGTTATTTAAAATAATTTTATATTGTTTTCATAAGAACATTAATTGTTTTAAGCTATTATCCTTATATTGGAAATAGACAATTGAACTGAAAAATAGTAACTTGGCTAAAAATATACAGCATGGCTTGAAACCCATAAATGTGATATGTTTATGCATGAATATAAATGGAGCCCATGTACTGTCTATACTGTACACAGTTTCATCAAGCAAGTGATTGGTTGCTTTCTTTGTTTTGAAAGCAGTAATGTAACTCTTTAGTCTTAAAATCCTTTTTTCCAGATAATTTGTGCTGATTTATATTATTTTTTAAGTATGTATTAAAATGAGATCTACGTTATTCAGATAAACTGTGATTACTAAATTCAGATAATTGAATCAATTTGATATAACTGAAGAAAGAAAAGTATAATTTAACATTTCATCAATTTGCACGTCTCAGTATTTGAGAGGCTGATCTTTTTTTTAATGTAAAGTTTTATTATAATATACGATACAATGAAAATACAAAAGTAGATAGTGAAAAACCTGGGGAAGTGAAAAGTGAAGTAAGGGAGAAAAAAAAGGCATTGACTTCTGACTTCCTTTGGTGCAGTAAAGTCGAGTGTCAAGTTCAAATCTTAATTTTTTACTTTTACAAAATAATATAAACTAGCAATTTCAATAACATCAAATCTATCTAATTGATAAAACCCAAAATCAGAATTTCATTTTTTTCCATCTCAAGCACAAAGTCTAGAAGCGGTTTCCCCAAGGGAATAAAAGGATTCATATTCTTTTCTTTAATCACTACAGTCAGTTTAGCCATCTCTGCTAGCTCTATCAGTTTTTGTAACCATTCCTCCGTTGTGGGAATTGATGTAGTCTTCTATTTCTGAACGTAGAGTAGTCTTGCTGCTGTCAACATATATAACATCGAAGTTCCATATATTTTTTTCCAGGTCTTTGTCATTAGCCCCAAGAGAAAAGTCTCTGGTTTTCTTTCTATATTCACTTTAAGAATTTTCTGTATTAACATTTGAATCCTATTCCAATATTTTCTTGCTTTATCACACACAAAGTCCCCTCTTTACCTTTACATTTCCAACATTTGAAATACCTTTCTACATTTTTGATAACTTGTCTGGTGTTAAGTACCAACGGTATATCATCTTGTAAAATTTTTCTTTTAAATTATAATTTAAAGTAAATTTTAATCTATTCCACATATTTCCCATTGTTCAAGCATTATATTATACCCAGATTCCTTATCCACTGGATCATACAGTGAGCATTTGAGAGGTTGATCTGAAGAAGTTTCTAATTTTTTTAGGTCCAGATTTCTAGTCAATACACCTTTTTGGTACTGAATTATTGAGATTCTTTTGAATGTTTGTTTGAGCTTCAAGTGTATACTGTCTTGAAATGAGAATTTTGAAAAAACAATAATATTTCCAAGTTATGGTATGCTTGAGGAGAAACAGTTCTTTACTGTGAGAAGTAATTTAACAACAGATACTGTAGAAAGTCCTTTGAAGTTCAGTCAATTAAAATAATTTCAAGAAGCAGGGCTAGGAAGACTCTGCCAGGATAAAAGAAATTAGATGAACCTATCATTTGAGCGGTGTAATGCAGCCAGCAGCCCTATGCAGATAATCAGCCCTGCAATCTAATAAAAGTTGCCTGCTCTTTTCCTAGTAACTGTTAAGACAGATAGCAGGAGAGAGTAAATTCTGTGGAAGCTGAAAGGAAAAGAAGAATGAGGGGTTGGAGGAACTTGTGTAACATCTAAAAGGAAGAGGGACTATAACTTTGTAACTATTTGTTGAAAAGGAAGTTGGAAATCATATTTCTTAACCTTATTATTTTTTCTCGTCCTTTTTCATTTCTTTCCTTTTGTCTTTGAATTCTCTTTTTATTCGACGAAAAATTACTTAATAAATATAAATTTTTAAAAAAGATAAAGGAAAAGAAGGCTCATCCACCAATGGTATGTGTTTCTCAATAGATTACTTCCGAGGGAATATAATTGGTGGGCAAAATAAAGCTTCCTGTCTTGGCCTACATAAAATTCAAATACAGGATCAGATTGATATCAAAATGCTGAGATTATATCAGGCAGCCGGTAAAATGTATGATATGTTCCCATTTCCTTAGGCATTGCGGTATGCAATATCCCTTCATCTTCTGTAGAAGAAACAGCTGATTCTACCCTCTGTCATATCCTGAACCTTTATCGTCGGGTTACATGGCTTCACCAAGCCATGCGGGAAGGAAACAGAGCCTCGAGTATGGAGCAAATCAGAGAGGTGGCTGGTGGTGCTGTACGTATCCGTGGTGAGACCTTGGGCATCATTGGCCTTGGTAAGCAGCAGTGCTTGTGGATAATGCAGTTAGCTTGGATAATGTTCTAGTGCAGTAGTGGCGAACCTATGGCAGAGGCGGCACTCAGAGCCCTCTCTGTGGGCATGCGCCCTGTTGCTCCAGCCCTGCCTCCCCCTGCGGCCCCCCTCCTCATCAGCAGCCTCCCCGGAGGAGAGTCGCCCCCAGGTACACAGCAGCGCAGCCAAGCATGTGGTAGCTGGGCAGCAGGGACAAGACTCTGCCCTCGCACCCCGTCGCACGTAGATGATGCGGGGGCAGAGATGAAGGACGTGGCCACCATGGCGCTGCAGGGCTGCCTGAGTGATCTTCAGGGGGCCGTGGAGGTGGTGGGTGGCCTGGCAGGTGGGGTGGGTTGGGGCAGGAGTGGAGTGGAGTGGGCGGGGCAGAGCGATGGGGTGGGGGCGGGGTGGTTTTTGGGCACTCGGTCTCTAAAAGGTTCGCCATCACTGTTCTAGTGTGACAAAACTTTCAAACATTTCAGTTTCTGTATGTCTCTCGTGTACTTGTTACTTTTCTACTTTCTTGACTTGGAGGAATTCATTGCATTCCATTTAATCTGATAGCAAAGTTAGGATGTGTGCTTACTCTGAAAGCCACAATTAGAAAAGCTGTTTGTTGCAGGTGAGAGAAAGATTGAAGATATAAATCCAATCCTCCTTAACTATTTCTTAGAAATCTGATTGATAGGTTATGTGCCATAATTGATTCTTAACGACCACGTAGATAAACTTGCTCTATTCCTAACCTTGTCTTAGAAATTTGTCACACCTGAATTATTTTATTGAACATGCTCTTCCAAGGTTATGGAGCCAAATTCTTAATGTGCTAATGCTTAGATAACCAGACAAACAGTATAATAACTAATACCTAAAAGTGTCAGGTATACCCAAGTACTGGAATTCTTGGATTTCAGAAGGAGAACACTGAATTGAAAGAGTTAGAGAATAAATAATAGAGATATGCACAACTTAACAGCTGATATAAGAATGGAATATTCTCTTTCCAAATCAATGTATTTTGCACAACTCTGGTGAGTAGGCATTGTGCTGAATGCATGCATTTTTTTTCTAAATTGAAGATATTCTTTTGTCATTAAAGTGGAGAAGAACACTAGCTGTTATCTCTTAATAACTGTATTTTTTAAAAATAAATATGTGACTAAGCATATTTGGGACCATTAGACAACTCTGAGAGCACTTATGAGGAAATAACTTCCCTGTCTCTCAGACCTGAATAGCTGCACATCCAAATTGGACTGCAATTATTATTTCTATTTATTGTACTTTTATTTCTCTCAGTAACAGAAACTCTGTTGTGCTCAGCATTTTTCACCATGGCTTCTCCTAGGTGATAGAACCGTAGCTCAGTTCTGTATTAAAACCCAAAATGTTTCCCCGTTCATTAATGCACATCCACAATAAACAGAAATCATCAAACACAGGCAAAATTTAACTGTTCCATAGAAATACAAAAAGTTACAAGCACAAATGAAAAAGGCAAGTCTTATCTCAGAAAAATCAAACATCATCGCAAGAGATAAAACACAAACATCATTAAAGATCCCTAAATATATGCCCTCCCCCACCACAGATATTCAGGTAAATTGTCTCTCCCCCCACCACCACACCCCCATTATTCCTACAAATATACAAAACTCACCTTTACCGTGACTAGAATATTAAAGATATGTCAAGCGTACTGGCAGAAGAAGTTGGAGAAAAGCAACTTAAACATTGGGCAGCTTATGTTTATTTTATCTAAAACAAATCCTGTCTTAGTATTAAGTGTAAATGCAACCAGGGCCTAATGCTGGGCTTAAGATTCCCATCTTTTCTTTTTCTAAGGCCGAATTGGGCAAGCAGTTGCCTTACGTGCAAAACCCTTCGGTTTCAACGTTATTTTTTATGATCCTTATTTGCCTGATGGAGTGGAACGTTCCTTGGGATTACAGCGGATGGCCACCTTGCAAGACCTCCTAATGCATAGTGATTGCATCACATTGCACTGTAGTCTAAATGAGCATAATCATCATCTCATCAATGACTTCACCATTAAACAGGTACAGCTTTGCCTTGAGCAGGGCATACAAATTACTGTCATGCAAATTTCAGGAAAGTAATGCCATGTACAGGTTTATATGTAGCAATTGAATTGAATTGAATACTTTATTTGGCCAAGTGTGATTAGAAACATAAGGAATTTATTTCTGGTACAGAAGCTCTCAGTGTACATGCAAAGTTACAGAATAATGATAATCATCATCACCATAATAATACCAATACAAGGCAGGAGTAAGAAAGATAATAAGGATAATTAATAATACTACAGCCACACTGTGTGGGAAAATATAGATAGACATTAGTCAGCATTGTGAGAATTAGGTCTTCAGCAAAGTGATGGCCTGAGATTTTAAGCATATTCAGCTTCATATTATTACTGCTGCATCATAGGGCCAGTTCTTCAATCTCCTGTCTATATGCAGACACATCACTGTCTTGAATGAGGCCAATGACTGTTGTATCGTCTTCAAATTTCAGAACTTTAACCGAAGGTACCCTTGAGATACAGTCATTGGTACAGAGAGAAAAGAGCAATGGAGAGAGAGCATACACACTGAGGGGTGCCTGTGCTGATTGCCCGGCTACTAGATGTAATTTTCTCATTGGTTGCTTTCTATCTGTCAAAAAAACTGATTGTCCACCTACAAGTATGAGCAAGTATAGTAGGCTGGATCAATTTAGAGTAAAAAATTTCTGGAATGATGGTATTGAATGCTGAGCTGAAGTCCACAAAAAGGACCCATACGTAGGTCTCCAGAGATTTAAGATGTTGCAGAATGTAGTATAATAACATATTGACAGTATCAGCATCACCTACTGTATTTGCTTGTTAGGCAAACTGCGAGGTTCTAACAGTGGATCCATGATGACTTTCAGGTGGGCTAGCACTAACCTCTCAAAGGTTTCCTTGATTATGGATGTCAGAATAACCGGTCTGTAGTCATTCAGCTGCCTGATGGAGGATTTCTTAGAGCCAGGATGATATAGCTTTTAAAGCAAGAAGGGACATAACACATCTTCAGTGATTTATTAAAGATGTGGATGAAGATGGGCATCAGTAGTTCGGAACAGGCTTTTAAGCAAAGAGTCACTCCATCTGGGCCTGGTGCTTTTCTGATCTTTTGCCAATGAAATAGACCTCACACATCTTTTTCTAGATTGCCAGAAGTGGGGGGCCTGGAGGGATTGTTTAAGAAAATTACCTATTGTTGGTGTATTTCAAATGGAGAAGGTAGTGGCAGATGATGGTGATCTCCTCTCAAACCTACAGTAAAACACATTCAGGTCATCTATACAAGGGATCTTCAAACTTGGCCCTTTTATGACTTGTGGACTTGTGCCTGGCTGAGGAATTCTTGGACTTGAAGTCCACAAGTCATAAAAGGGCCAAGTTTGAAGCCTCTGATCTATACCTTTAATTTCTCTTTTAATTGGACCCAGAAGCAAACTGGCAACCAGGGCATTTCATGAAGGTGGATGGTCATTATGGCAACCCCATATAGAGAACATTACAGTAGTCAAGGTGTTAGGTGACTAGAGCATGAATGACTGAAGTCATTCTAGGAATGATTGAAATCTGATCTAGGAAGTCGTGCAAAGGCCTTCCTAGCTATTCTTCAAGCATGAAGAATAGCTTCATGGGTCCATGAGTCCAGCAAGCCCCCCAATTTGCTTACCAACCTTGAGGGGGAAAGTGCAGACCGATCAAAGAATATCTCCACATCTGAGTGATTCAGACACCCACAGCCATTTGGTCTTGGTAAGATTAAGTGGGAGATAGTTCTTCCCCATCCAAATCCCTACACCCTCTAGGCATTGGGACATCTTGCAACTTCACTTGGGTAGCCCAAAGTTGAAAAATGCAATGGGGTATCATCAGCATACTGAGGTACTAAACCCAAAACCAGCAGATGAGTTCATCAGCAGTGTCATCTAGATGTTGACAAGGAAAGGAGAGAGAGAATAGAACACTGTGGCACGCACCAGCAGGGCCCCAGGAAATGATCTCTCCCCTCACAACAGACAAAATAGGAATTTTGAGAAGCCTTCTGCAACAAATTTGCAAGGCAGAAATGCACATGTAGCTCAAAACCTGACACTATTTTGGTACAAATTTGGTGAGGCTTTGAGTTGGATGGTCCTGGCTTCAGTCAATCCGTTCTTAGGTCTAGAGAGCTACAACTTTCATCCTTTTTGTTTCTGAAATTTATTATTATTAAAATTTATTTATTTATTTGCCATCCAACTCGCAGTTCAAGACCACATTTAGCTGGAATGTTTGGATTCATTGATGAGTTCATCAAGCAGATGATCTTCCTTTGAGACTTACGATGATGCCCATATTCTTCAAGGAATTTGTAATCAATTACTCTATTAAATAGACCAGAGGTTCTCAACATTTTTAATGCCACGACCACCAACCGGTCGTAAGTCGAGGACTACTCAACCGGTCATAAGTCGAGGACTACTCAACTGGTGCAGCACCGTTTGCAGAATGGGACTTTTGGCGGGCTCAGCAGGGCAGAGACAGCCTGGACAATTCCTATAGGCTTTTGAAAGCCAATAGAATTAGACTCTATTCAAGAGAGTCTATTCTATTGGCTTTCAAAAGCCAATAGAATAAAAGGGAGTAGCACAGCTAAGGAAAAGGGGAAAAAAAATGGCGGACTGCGTTGTTTGGCGACCCCCGTGAAATGGTCGTTCGACCCCAAATGGGGTCCCCGACCCACAGGTTGAGAACCACTGAAATAGATAATAACATCATATTAGGCCTTCAGGCCTTTCCTGCACCATTGTTAAAAGCAATGTCACACGGTTGCCAATTGTGACCTCCTGCCAGCTTCCCTCTGACTTTGCTTGTAGGAAACCAGCAAACAAGGTCACAAATAGCAATCACATGACCGCAGGATGCTGAAGTTTGCAATTCTGAGTCAGATGCCTTGATCATGATCACGTGATTGCAAGGACACTGCTTTTATCCGAAGTACAATAGCTAGTCAATGCATAAGAGCAAATAATAGCTACCAGTATAACGATTCAAATGATCAACAAAACCATCAGGTTTTAAGGGATTTACAAAAGACAAGGAGGCTTGGTGTGTTCTGCATCTTGTGAGCAGGGTATTGTACAACATAAGAAAACTACAGAGAAGGCATGTTGCTAAATCCCCTGTCCCCTCATTTTATGTGAAGTGAGTATTTTTAGAATCTTTCCCTGAAAGAAAACACACAGAGCAGACCAGATCTTGATGGGACAAATAAGTTGGTATAATGGATTATTCTGATCAGGAGAAAAACTGACAAAATTTAGTTCTTCTGAGATTTTGTTAGTATATAATACTATTGACTGGATATTGTACTGGATAACTATCATTTTTTGAGAAATGATTCTGTTCATAAGTGCAGAATTGTTTCTAAAAGGTTGTACTGAGTTGTTTTATGCTTGGTTCCTGATAACTGGTCTAAAAGTTCTGTTCTACCTCTGACGGTTTTTAACTTTTTTATAAAGCTGTTGAGAGAGATCATTGAAAGAATTAGGATGAGCTAGTGCCCATCCTAATTATAGAATTATAGAAACCATATAGGTTGAATTATAGAAACCATATAGGTTTGAATTATAGAAACCATATAGGTGCTAGATAAATTTTTGAAGACAACAGTGGGTTGTATGAGGGCATAAATTTCAACTTAATTCTAATCTTTGACAGATAATTTTCAGATCTAAGAAGCAGGGAGATAATCTGTTATGAATGGGAGTGCAGTACTCTTAAGAGAGAAGGTGTGCACATTTGGGACTTTCTTGATTCAGTTTTATCACAGAGACACAAGTGGCCTCAATAATAGAGAATACCCTTTCCCAGTGTTGGCTAATGTGAAGTTGTCAGTCCTCTGACATAGATTGCTATCAGCCCATTTATTTTTGGGTATTCATGAAAATGATCCTGAAAGTATAGTTGGTCTAAACTGGAACAATCAGGACACTGATAAGTATAGCTGTTAGAGATCCTATGATATTGAACCCAAAATGGGCCTGTTAAATGGGCCCGATTCAAGATGCTGATTCCAGATTACAAAGCTTGAAATATTTTGGGATCTGTTATGTGAAAAATGATTCACTCTGTACATGTCCATCTTCATTTTTGGAACATCGGGAAAACTCATTTTGTGCAAATCTTTGTATTTTTGAGGCACAGGCAATCCCCTAGTTAAGAACAACGGACTTAAGGACAACCCCTAGATACCAATGGGCTGTCTATTATTAAAAATGGCGGAGAGCATTCTCCTTCCTGGAGCTGACAAACTGTTGAAGTTGTGCAATATTTTCAGGCTGCTGAAACTGCATATTGTTAATATACAGCCTGTTTGCTGAAGTTTTTTAGTGATTTCTTTAAAAATGGAACAATTTCAGCAGTTTCTCTGCCCAAGGAAGAACAATTGCTGTCCATCATTTTTTAGTACTAGACAGTCTGTAAATACGAGTTCTGACTTACATGAAAATTTGGGTTAAAGACAGGAACAGAACTTGTTCTGAACCCAGGGACTGCCTGTAGCATATATTTGTTTTTAAATAAATTTGTGAAAAGTTCGGTCCATTGGAACAAATGTGTTGGGATTTATGGAGATTTTATTTATGCTTGTTGTCTTGATACTCCTTATTCATATAAGTCACTTTTAGTTTGAAAAGAATAGGAGCAAGGTTTTGATAAGCCCGATTAATTTATATACTGCATCACCTGGGGCATTTGAATTAAATGAGTAAATACATTTGAATTTCAGAATAATCATTTTCATAATATTGTTTAAGTGCAATAATTGAATCTCAGTGGCCCTTTCTGTATTTTTTCTAAATAGATGCGTCAGGGCTGCTTTCTAGTGAATACGGCGCGTGGAGGTCTGATTGAAGAGAAGGCCCTGGCTCAAGCCCTAAAGGAAGGGAGGATCAGAGGGGCTGCTCTTGATGTGCATGAGTCAGAACCTTTCAGGTAACAGTTACACTGTCACGCCTTTGTCAGTTTTCAATAGGATACGTATCTCTCTGCATCTTAGAGCCACCAGCGATCATAATCCAAAACATGCCTGTTTCTCTACATCACAGTTTTGCTAATGGGCCCCTAAAAGATGCTCCCAATGTGATTTGTACTCCTCACACAGCCTGGTACAGTGAACAGGCTTCTATTGAGTCAAGAGAGGATGCGGCTAAGGAGATCCGAAGAGCCATCACAGGTAATTGAAAACCCCGCTCTGTAGTTGCTTCCCAAATGACTTCACTGGACTAGGTCTGTGTAGTAGCAACAGGTTGTGCACCATTTTGTGTGTGTCCAAATAATAAGTACTTTTAAAAAAAATAATTTGACTGATCAATTGTGTTTTAAGTACCATGGTACGTATGGACTCTACTTTTTTGATCCCTAGTTTTGACTGTGGATAGTTCATTTTTTCAAGTCACGAGTTTTTTCCCCCCCAGATCTATTTATGTGCCTTGTCTTCCTTTATAGTCTTCCTTGTCTTCCTTTCAGTGACCATTCTAAATCATTGTTTCTTGTTGTGTTTGACAGTAGGAAAACAGTAATCTGAAGTAACTGACTAGGAGATTGCTTTATTCTATATTATTAATGGCAGAAGGAATAAAAGTGCAATCTCCTTTGAGTCAAGCTTGATTCTTGGTGATTTTTTTAGACACACAGTTTTCTTACAAGAGATCCACAGTATCTTCTATCTAGGATATCTTTATTTCCAAGATTCACTTACAGCTCTGGATATTCCTTGGAAGTCTCCCACCAAATTCCAATCAGGCTTGATGTTTCTTAGTTTCTAGGCCCAGAGAAGGTCAGCCAGGTGCTACCAGCAAAGAAGCAAAAGCTTTTTCCCAATGGCATTTTCTTGTGCTAATCAGTTACACCTCCAAAGTCCTATGTAGTTCCTGAGCTTCAGATTGCTTTTTTATAAAGGTTTTTTAAAAAAACTCATGGGTAACAGTAGGAGCTGCATACCTGTAGGATTAAAGCAAGAGTGAGCAGGCCTGCACCACTTTCTAATCTCATACACTTCATTCGTAGAGAGATGCATGTCCATTCTTTTTCTATATCTCCCTCCCTCCATCCCACCCCTTTGAAACAATTGTGGAGAGTTAAGAGTCAAGCTTAACTATATGCAGAAAACAATTTGCAGAGTTCACAGTGCATCTGGAGAGAAAAATGAATTTTTGCCTTTTTAGCTGTAAGCCCCCATTTTGGGTACAATAATATCTTTTTTAAAAAAATTAAAATCTTCTATTTGTTCTACCGGACATTAGAAGTGTAATTACTGGAAGGAGGGGAGAAAAGAAAATCATGAGCCAGAGGTATGTATGCAGTTTTGAACTTACTGCTGCTTTGTAGGGAATGATCATTTGGGCAGTAGTTTTAAATGTATTGGTCTAATAAGACACACAGCAAGGGATCTTTTTATGGTTCTTATTTTTCAGAGAAAACTCAAATTATTCATGTGAGCATGATTTGCTGTGTATTTTTTTTTCCTTTGCTTTGTTGAGGAACTTTTGATACGTTTTGGAATATATATACATACACAAGCATGCATATTGGCATAATCTTTCTCTTCATTTGTGGACTTTGACATAGGTCACATACCTGATGGTTTGAGGAACTGTGTTAACAAGGAATACTTGCTTTTAGCGGCTCAGTGGTCTGGCATTGATCCTGCAGCTGTACATTCAGAGCTTAATGGAGCTACAGCTTACAGGTGAGATACATACATCTGAATTTTTAGCAGTGAAATTGTAAAAGGAATGCTTATCGGAGTGACTTTCAATTACCATACGTTTTCTTCTTACGACAGGTTTCCTCCAGGAGTAGTAGGAGTAGCCACCTCTGGGCTACAGGAGCCACCAGTTGAGGGAATTGTAGCTCACAGCATTCCCTCTGTGTCTCACTCTGCACCACACACTCCTTCTCCAGGAGAGTCAAGCAAATTGGAGCCAGACAGAGAAATCTCCTCTGACCAGTAGCACCTCTCTTGTCTTATTCAGCCCTTAACATAAAACAGGGAAAGTCTCCTGTTTTTAGGACATATTGTGACACCCCCTCCTCTCCTGGACTGCTTCCTCAATGGACAGGAGAATGCATTTCATTATTGGCAAATTCTAGCTTTTGCCTTTAAACAGGTATTTTTATAATGAATTTAGTTTAAATCTCTTGGTGAATCTTTTTCTTTACCTGGGGCAATGAAGTAGTGATTTTTCATTGTTTTGATAATGCTTAGTTTTAACACGCAAATTCGTATGCCCCTGCCTCCCGTGTATGATATAGAGGAAAACAGTACCAAACTGAACAGTACCTGGATGAACACATGAATTCCAGTGATTTCTATGACTGGTGTGTTTTTTTTTAATGTGATTTCTTAGGTTGAGTTATCAGTTATGTCTCAGGTACAAGTAATAAAGACACTGTATTGGGATCGGGTGGGGGGAAGCGGTGCATCTGGATTGCTTGATAGAAAGTAGAGTCCTTGCTCAATTGTGAGCACTTAACTGCTTCAGTCCTTCCTGCTTGCATTAGCCCGATGTGGTTGTTGAATGATTTGTTCCCGGGGCTCTGGATAAATAATTAAAAAACACAAGAGTAGATGTGGAATGCTACCTGGAATTTGTACGTAAAACATTTACAGAAAATCAGTTGGATTGTTTTAATAGTTAAGTTGCTTGGCGGGTTACGGGAAGGAAGATGGTTGAATTGAGATTTTGAGCCCAGCTCAGGGAATGAGGACTCAGCTCCACACAGGAAAGTAGGAGGAATTTCAGAGCTCAAGACTTCATGTTACGGGATGTCTGCGTACAAACAGTGCAAATTTTACAGCAACAAAAAAGGTAAAATCCTAGAACTTAATTTAGGATTGAAGTCTCTTTGACCTGTCTCATTATAGCTTCAAAGGCCAAGCTAGGATTTTTCCCTTTGACTTCTAGTGTGAAATGTTATTAGGGATGTGTGTGTCCAGCCTTCATATATTTTTTACTCCTACTCTTCTCTGAATTTCTTGTCTTGCAACAAACCAACCAACAGATCTTATTCTCAAGCCTGCAACTAGCTATGCAGATTCTTCCTGAAAGATGCAGTTGTTCTATTATATGATAGTTTTCTAACTTGAGTGTGTTTTAAATGAGGCATTTAAACCCTATATAGAGGCAGTACTAGGGTATAATTTGTTGGGGGCGGGAGGGGGGGAAATTGCTTTTTCCTTAGCATATTGTCTACACAGCATATATTTCATCATGAAACAAAATATTTATTAATGTTCATATGTATTATTTTTACGTTGTTTGGAATTTTGAGCATGAAACATTATGTTTTTTTAACCAATATTGCTTAAGTATACTGCTAAGATATGAATGGGGAGTGGAGAATGGCAATTCTTCTTTCCTAGGAGTTGTCTTGATTGGCTTTGTGGTGGGTTTTTTAAACAGAATTATCAGTCAGGCAAACTGGAAAAAAGATAAGTAGATACCCACCTACTTCAATCTGTGCTTACAGCTAAAACTTAATAATTGGTTAGCACATTCCCAAACTTCAGACTGTTTTTCAGGCTTAAATGTCAGTGGCTAACTGGCAGGTGCATATCCCCTTTAATATGAGGTGAGATACTAATGGAGAAAAACAAATTAATTTTTATATTGATCATATTCTGATTTTTTTTGCTTGAGATGGTATATTCCTTGATATGTGTTAAGTTAGAATGTAAGTTGGAAGTTTGACATAGTGTAAGCTCTGATAATTGGGAGGCATAGTTGCTTTATAATGGCATGGATGATTATGATTATGTGTTTAAAATTCAGATACCTCTTGGGATGCTCAGGTTTTTTTAGCAGTATCTGGGGTGGGGTAAATTAACAAGTTAGTACTACATATGTGACAGTTAAGCATAGCAGTGACTCTTCAGTGAATTTTCAATGAATTTTTATTTAGGGCAAAAGCAACAAAAACAGCTTTTTATTGAATCTTTGTACTAAATCTCTATCTAATTAAAAACTGGAATTGGGGTGCAAGCATAATTTAATGCTAGCCCTTAAGGTTGAAGAATCAGGAGTGGTGGTGAGATGCTCACTCCTTTGCCCATCTCTTCATAAATTTTCTATACTTTTCTTTCCCATTCTAAAAAATTAGAAGCATGAAAACATCAATTCTGCATATAAACCAGGATTAATTTTGTTTGGGCAACACTGAACCAGCTAAAGATGGCAAAAGGCAAAAGATGCAGCATGCGATGCTGCAGCTTTGCAGATATTTTTGCAACCTCCCTTGAAAAGCTATGTTCTCAAGCTTAGTAACAGCCTAGTTCAGTTTTAATGGTGTGTACAGTGTTCACATTCCATGCATTGAAGTGGAAAAATTAATTTATGAAGCATTAAAGTTACATAGTTGTTTCCAATAGGCATATTTGAGATGTTTTGTTGTGACTGAGAAGGTATAAAAACGGAGGATGAGGGAAATGAAAATTAGATTGTAGAAAATAGTAGCCATGGAAAAAGAGAACTGTGAAATATAATTGAAGCCCTAGAATGCTATTTTTTTAGTACAACTTCACTAGTTGTTAATACATGAAATTATTGGCTACAACCGTAAAAGGATAAATACTGCATGCTTTAAAAATGAAAGCTGGCATTCTCAGGATATTAAATTCTAATACTAAAGTTTCTATACTTGTATGGTGTCAAATACATACTGCCCTGGAGATGAGGAAATAAGTCTTTGTATATTCTTAGTCTGATAATGATGTCTATTTTACTGGCCTCTTTACTACTCATAGCTTATAAAGCTATATCATTGTAGCTTCATAGCTGCTGTTTTAAATTCTAACAACCTATAGGTTCAGTGTTACAGCCACAGATGTCCATTGTTTGCTACAATTATGCCAAAAGGAAAGAATTTGCGTTATGATATAGTGACACAAGACCCATGCTTTTATACTTCCATTTACATCACAATGCACATTTCGTCACTCGCCTCCCTTTGTCCACCCATAGACGCCTATGGTTCCAACTGTAGAAATTTTGAAAGTAATAGCCCCAGAATCATATTGTGTTTCTAGTACAGTTTATCAGCAACTGCTTTGTTGCTGACTGTTCCTGTCTTTTGTTTTCAAGGTTTCTGATCAAGGTTCCAAGCTATGGGATTGCTCAGTCTCCTATCTTGCCTGTTCTAGGGAATAGTGTAAGATATACTCACTTCATGGTGGCAGCCTACATTAGTAAGCAAAATATTTTTTACACATGGATACCTCTAAAGATTTATAAGATAAAACCTCCAAAAAGAGAAAAACTGAGAAGATCTCAGCTGGTTTACAGCGGGATGTTTGTTTTGATTAGAAAATATGCTATTTGGCATATTAGAAAAATATTAACAGTAGAAGAGTTGCAACAGTCTCCTATTGCTGGTGGAAAATGATTTAAATCTTAAATCTTCAAAAATAACCAGTATTACCCAAACCTATATTTGGGAATTTAGAAATGTTGAGCCTACCAGAGTAGCATTAAATATAAATTCATATCAGGTTTTAGACTTTAGCTAATCAAACCTCTATTCTAGAAGGCAGGACAGGCTAGGTCTGATTATAAAGTGCTCCAGTTGCACATTGTGATGTTTTTGTTTCTTAGAACATTTGCCACAAAAATGGGTAAAAGTGGACATAAATGCTAAAAGAATTTTCCTCCTGATACCAAACATTATTCAGTGACTCCTTAATGTGTTTAGACATGCAGCTCCCAGCTCCAAATTTTATGCATGCTAAGGAAGTAAAAAATTGGAATGAAAATTCATTTTAAATCTTCCTTCAAAATTAATGTGGAGCTTAATCCCAAAGAATGTCTTTTCATAATGTTATTAAGACAGGAGTGCTCTGGGTCATGCCAAGGTTAATCTGCAAGAGGAGTTCACTCTGTCCTATGGAATATTCTGCTTGTCAGATTTGCTGTTGCTGACCAGCTTCTTTTTATAGAGGACTCAAGAGTTTCAGAAATATATTTTTGTAGACAATAACTAAACTGTGAAACTTAATAAGGCATGTAAAAGCATTTCCAATGTTTTCCTGTACAGATTTTTCTCCCTTCAATTCCCTCTTGGCTTTTGTTAGAAGTTTGACAGTTTCTTGAATATATTTTAATAAATATTTCGTTTACGGTTATGTGGGTCTTCTCATTTAAGTGTGTGGCTGCCTTGACTAGTACTGATGGAATGTGGTATCTTTAAGTATTGTCTTTATTTTCTAATTGTGCAGGTGTACACTTTCTTTTCCTTAAAATGAAAAAGCTAGTAAACCTAAAGATTGGTGAGGTTGTAAAATAAACCTGCTATGGTTAAAGTGCTGTTGATGAAGGTTCCAGAATAATTAATGGTAAGCTGTAGATGACTATGCAAACATTACGTACACAAACCTCTCTCTTTAAATATGGCATCTTCCACAGTTTGTTACAGAAAACTGAGCTTTCTATTCAAAAATCAAAGTTCACTTTGAAGGGAATGGTAAAGACTTATAGCTGTAATAATGTAAACAAAAGAAATAACAGTTTTTCACAAAGAAAATATTTTACTACCCCAAAAGGTTATTTATACAATCTGGAAAAAGATTCTTTTACAAAATTTTGAGAACATAGAAATGAAGTTTTGAACAGATACAGTAGGGGTCTTCAAACTTAAATCCTTTTATGACTTGTGGACTTCAACTCCCAGAATTCTTCAGCTAGACATGCTGGCTGAGGAATTCTGGGAGTTGAAGTCCACAAGTCATAAAAAGGCCAAGTTTGAAGACCCCTGAGCTACAGCCATAATCTCAATCTTTGGCTTGGTCAACACGTAAAACACTGGTAGTTTCCTGCTTTAAAAATGTAGTCATTCCCCACAGTAATTATCCCAGCTAGTTTGGTGTAGTGGTTAAGACATGAAGCTAGAAACCAAGAGACTGCAAGTTCTGGTCCTGCCTTGTGGATGAAGCAAGTGGGGTGACCTTGAGTCAGTTGTCTTGCCCTAGGAAGGAGGCAAGGGCAAATCATTTCTGAAATCCTGTCAAGAAAACTGCAGGGACTAGTGCAGACAGTTGCCAGGAATCAATTGACTCAAAGACATGCAACACAAAATCATGTTTTTAACATTTTCACATGATTTTGCCATAACATGTAGTTGAGTCACTTATTCACTGTATCAGCATTCAAGAAAAGCTTATTAATGGATATTTGTTATGATTATCTATTACTAAAGTGCCAAAATAGTAACTCTTCAGTGCTAGTTCCTTGGAAACAAAATCTGTGTAGAACGGTTGTATTCCTGCTCTTTAATTGACATGTGGCCTGTTACTATAAAACACACTGCTGGACAAGTTAAGCGTCTGTTGTGGGCCGGGCCAGGAAGGAGAGTCTTGTGTGTTTTTTACTTATGCACAACGCAGTAGCCCCTCGGCCCTCCGGCGGGGAACGGCGGAACAAATGAAACGACCAAGAACGAAAAGGTCAGCAGTGCATGCCGGGAGCAAAAAAGTAAATAAATAAGAGTTTGCGCGTTGCATTCTGGGAGCCCCAGACCCGGGGAGGGTTCGGCAAGCGCGGGGCACGCCGGGATTAAGAGGAGCCTGCCGCGGGGCACGCCGGGAACAGGGCGGGCGGTGTTCGGGGGGCCCAGAGGAGAGCTGTCGCTGACTCGCTCGGTGTCCCTGAGGCTGTTGAGCTCGAGAACCGCGGCGGAGGCGGCTTCTGCCCAGTAGGGATGGCAGACGCGACGGCCTCCCCGGTGGGGAAGCGACTCCTGCTGTTGCTGGTAGCAGGTCCGGGCGAGGGAGAAGCGGCGAGTCCCGAGCCTGGGCCTGCTCTACCCTCCCGGGCCTGGAGGAGTGGGACCGTGCGGGCTATGAGTGGGGCCGTTCCTCAGGATCTAGCGGTAAGAGCCCTCGGGTGAAGGGGTGGGGGTGGGGGCTGGACGTCCGGCTGCGTTCCCTTCGCGCGCTCCTGATTCCTCTGGGTCCGGGGAGGGAGGGAGGGATGGTGGGGCTGCCTCTTTTGGGAACCTGGAGGAAACCTCTCTCTCTCCTTCTCTCTCTCTCTCTCTCTCTCTCGCCTTTGCGCGAAATAACCCGGAATCCCTTCCTGATGTGGAAGCGATGGGTTCTGTCGTAAGGCCGCTCTTCGGCCACCGAGCTCGAATTTCAGGTGCTGCATTTATGGCAGTT